TTAATTTTTATTTTATTATTTTTGTGTGTGTGTCAAATCGGATCTGACAGGTACAGAAGGATATTGTCCCTCCTTCCTGGCAGAGCATTTGGTGGATTTGAACCGTGCACCTCTGGGCTTGCAGTGCAGATTCTTGCCACTAGGGCACCAGAGCTCCCCTTATCCTTTTCCTTTATCAGAAGTTCTTAACCTGGAGTCTGTGAGGCCACCAGAACCTCCCCCTTCCCCTGATAAAAGGTCAGCAAAAAGCCTCCACAGATGTAATTCAGGAAATTTGTAGCCTCAGCTGGGGGGAATTGACATCTTTAGTAACATCAAAATTAACATTGATTCAGTTGTGAAGATAGGAAAGCCACAATAATAAATAACACTACATGTATTGTCATAAGACTTTATAGTCATGACAGATAGACCACTCATCCCTTTTGAAAAATTGTTGATTAAAAGACTTGGTGTTGATCTGGTTATGTAGTTTGGTGAGGAAGCCCATATAATGCTTTGTCACAAAAATTTATCTTGATAATTATATTTTAGTATAATTGTTTTGTTATCCTGTACATTTTATTTTGTGAGTTCAAAACATTCTGAAGGACATCAGTAGGCTTCCGAACACCCTCAAATGATCCCACAACATCAAAAAAGGTCATCAGACCTGTTGAAGTATTCTTCAGAGTAAAAAAAAAAAATGGATTGACGTGAGAGCACCTGGATTCAAATATGGCTAAGTAGATGTAGTGACATTAGACAAGTTATTTGTCAAGGCCTCAGTTTTCTCATCTGTAACATGAAACTGAATCCTTAATACTGCTTTGGGGGTTAAATAAGGTAACAAAAAGAAAATCCTGCTCTTTTATTCATTCATCCAACAAATACTTGAGTGTCCACAACTTGCCAGTGTATAGGTTTCAACAATAGACAAGTAACAAAGTTCTTCTCATGGGTCTCAAATCTTCAGAAGGATGGAGGGAGTAAAACAGAGGTAAGAAAAATTAATTTATGATGCATAATAGGATGATGGATGTAGTAGAGAAGCGACAAGGGAAGGAGGACTAAGAATGCCATCAAAATTCATCCTAACCCAAACCAAATGTCTCAAAGCTGCTTCAGGGTTTACAGTCTTAGTTAAATGGAAAACCAGCTGTCTCACCTAGAAATTTCTCTTGAGTTAGCTGACTCTAAATCCAGTGTGTGTAAAAAAAGAAAATTATTTGTGTTATTTTCTAAATGTTCTGTCATCTCCTCCTTACATTTCCACTGCCAGCATATAATACTCTTCATGAACTAGTATAGCTACCACATCTCCCAGACAATGAAGACTTCACTTCTAAAGCAGAACAGATAGAGAGACCAGAGGGTCACTAGGGCACACCTTCTTGTCCTGTGAGAGGATATTTTTATTTTCTTCTTGTTAAGTCTCAGAGAATAGGGTTAGCGCAACACACCATCCCCTATAAAAGAAGATGGAAAGAAAATACTGAATCAATGTATTGAAAGGAATTGGCAGACACAGAAGAATTTCATGAAACAACATATGAGCAAGCGCCTATGGTGATGAAAGAAGTTCAGGCTGCTTTGAAGGAAATGGCATAAAATAAGGCCCCAGAAAGAGATGGTATACCAATTGACATATTTCAGCTAACAGATGCTGTCCTGGACACACCAAGTTGTGCCACGAAATCTGGAGAACAACCACTTGGTCAACTGATAGGAAGCAATCTATATTTGTTCCCATCCCAAAGAAAGGTGACCCAACAGAGTGTGGAAACTATAGAACAATCTCAATGATTTCACATGCAAGCAAGATTCTACTGAAGATTATCCAAAAATGACTGGAACAGCATATCAGCAGAGAACTACCAGAAGTCCAGGCTGGGTTTAAAAGATATTGTAGCTGATCTTAGATGGATCTTAGCTGAAAGCAGGGAATACCAGAGGAATGTCTATCTGTGTTTCAATGACTATGCAAAGGCCTTTGACTGTGTGGATCATAACAAACTGGGGCTGACTCTGAGAAGAATGGAAATCCCAGAACACTTGATCGTTCTAATGTGAAACCTATATTTGGACCAGGAGGCAGTCGTCAGAACTGAGCAAGGGAACACTTCATGGTTCAAAATTGGGACGGGTGTACGCCAGGGATGCGTCCTATCACCATACTTTTTCAACCTGTATGCAGAACAGATTATCCAGAAAGGCTGGGCTCTATGAGGAGAAATGTGGGGTCAGGATTGGTGGATGATTTAACAATCTGTGTTATGCAGATGACACAACCCTGCTTGCTGAAACTGAGGAGGACCTGAAGCACCTGCTGTAGAGGATCAAGGACTGCAGCCTCCAATATGGATTGAGCCTCAATGTCAAGAAGACAAAGATTCTCACCACTGGACCAATTGGCAGCATCAGGATATATGGTGAAAAGACTGAGATTGTTCACAGCTTTAGTTTGCTTGGCTCCACAGTCAACACTCTTGGCACCAGTAGCCAGGAAATTAAATGGTGCATTACCATGGGAAAGTCTGCTGTTAGGGACCTCTCCAAAGTACTGAAGAGCAATGGTGTCTCTCTGGAGACTAAGGTGCATCTGATACAGGCCATGGTCTTTGCAATCACTTGTTATGCATCAGAGAGTTGGACAATGACCAAGGAGGATAGAAGGAGAATTGATGCCTTTGAGCTGTGGTGCTGGAAAAGAGTATTGAGAGTACCATGGACTTCTAGGAAAACAAACAGATTCATCCTGGAAAGGGTTAAACCGGGTGGCCTCTTGGAGGCAAGGATTCTGAGGCTCCGGCTCCGTCTAACATACTTTGGACATGTTGTGAGGAGAGACCGGTCCTTGGAGAAGGACATCATGCTTAGGAGGGTGGAGGGACAGTGCAGGAGGGGAAGGCCCTCTATGAGGTGGATTGATTCAGCGACTGGGATAATCGGGATGGGAGTGTCAGAGACAGTGCGATTGGCACAGGACAGAGCAGAGTTTAGGGCTGTTGTACATAGGGTCGCTATGAGTTTCAAGCGACTCGATGGCATATAACAAGAAACAACACACTGGTGGCCTAGTGACAAGAAGCTGTGCTACCATCCTGAAGGCATGCAGTTCGAATCCACCAGCTGTTCCAATGGAGAAGGATGGGTAGTCTCATCCTGTATAATTAACTGCCTCTGAAAACCCACCAGAGGGTCAGCTATGGTTGGGTTCCAAACTGATGGTATACAACAATAGTGGCTATTGCCCACCACCAGATTTAGTGACTAAGGTTACCAAATTCAGATGTTTCCTTGGAAACAAAGGTGAGGAAGCTTCATCTCACATACTTTGTGAGTGTTGCTTAGAGCTCGTAGTCCTTTGAAGGAGAGAAAGACCCTCAACCAAGTAGATTGACACAGCAACTACAGCAGTAAGCTTGAGTGTGTCAGAGATTGTGAAGTTGGCACAGGGTAGGACAGAATTTAGATCTGTTGTTTATAGGGTTGCTATGAGTCATACTTAATGGCGCCCAACAATAAGAAGTGGCTTATTGGTAAGGAGATGTTTTGCCAACCCAAGGCTAGATGGTTTGAATCTAACAGCTGCTCCACAGGAGAAAGATGGGTAATCTCCCATGTGATTTACAGCTTCTGAAAACTTGATAGGTCAGCTCTGAGTCGGTTCTGACTAGACAGCACACAACAACATAGTCTATTTAAAATAGCCATCTGATTACTTACATTAACTTTGTTTCAGTGTTATACAAAATTATTTCTATCCATTTGTGGCCTCAAGAAAAATGTAAGAAAGGTTATTGTTGTCTTGTTTACAAGACAGTAAGAAATAAAGATTAAGACAGCAGGTAATCTGTAAAAAGGTATTGATGGATAAATTATTTCATTCAGACTTTTCATCAAGACTAATCTTCTCTCAGCCAACCTGAAATTGTGAGATGTTACTGTGAAACAGTATGAATTAAGATATTTGTGAACCAGATCCTCAGCTGAAAATATCACTCATTTCTTTTGTTTAGAAAAACATCAAAAAAAGATTATCTTATGAATCGTGAGAAGGACCAAACCAAACTACTCTTTACTATCAAACTCCTTACCAAACTCTTTACTATCTCATTAGGTGACATTTTGACATTTAACAATTAGAGTAAAAATTTACCTGTTTTGCACAGTAATAAATGTGTCAAAGCATAAGACAGTAACGCTGCCCGAGTTCGTTGGGCTTGGTTGGGCCATAATTCTCCGTGGTTTGGCAATTACAAGACAGTGTAATTTGACAAATATGTGATGTTGTCTTCTATTTTCACATACCACCAGTTTTCACATAACAGCCTGATCTTTGGATCATAACCATGTTAGTAAGTGAGAAGTAGGTATGTAAGGAAATTTTTGAAACACAGATAAAAATATACGGAGCTGAATAATTACCAAGGATGGCAGAAGAAGAACTGATGCCTTTGAGTTGTGGTGCTGGAGAAGAGTGAACATGCCCTGGACTGCCAAGAGAACTAACAGGTTTGTCCGTAAGAGGGTGAAATCAAACAGCTCCTTAGAGGAAAGGATTTGAAGGCTCCCTCACATGCTTTGGGCACAAAGCCAGAAGGCACCAGTCTTTGGAGAAGGATATCATGCTTGGAAAGGTCAAGGGAGAGCAGAGGAGAGGAAGACCCTGAATGAGATGGATTGAGAAAGTAGAACAGTGAGGTAGGCATTTCAGAGACAGATTGGTTCAGGATAAAGCAGTATTCAGAGCTATTGTGCACAGAGTCACCATGAGTAGCAATCAGCGTGACAGCACTTAACAATATTGTTGCCTAAGAAAGAAAGTATCCCAAATATTTCCTCTGTGGAAATGCATTTGGATGGAAAACCAATTTGCTTTATAAACATTCACTCAAATTGCAAGTAAAATATGTTTAAAAAATACATACTTTCTTAATGTAAAATATCTGTATGAGTAATAAGCTAGTATTAACCTTGTGTTTTAACTGGTTGTTTATCTTGCATTTAATTCTCAGGAGAGTGCTCATTGACACTGGAGAACCTGCAATTCCAGAATATATCAGTTGTTTGAAGCAGGCTCTGATGGAATTTAACACCACAATCCAGGAAATCATTGTGACTCACTGGCACTTGGATCATTCTGGAGGTGTAGTGGACATTTGCAAAAGCATTAATAATGGTAAGCAAAAGAATACAGTAAATTCATTGAAGAAACCTATGTGTTTAGGACAATTACTTTTGGTTATATAGCGAAATAAGGTGGTAAGCCATTTACCAATAGTTTATACTTTTGTTGTTGGTAATATACCGTCGAGTCAGAACCAGCTCACAGCCAACCCTCCAGTGTGTTTTTAGTGGCAGTAACTTTATGGAGGAGATTGCTCATCTTTGTCCCATGAAGCATCTGGTAGGTTTAAACCCTCAAGTCATGGCAGCCCCATGGATTTTTAAGCCTGTGACCTTTCTGATTCTGATTCCCAGACCTGTTTTCTGAGACACTTCTAGGTAGGGTTGAACTGCTAACCTTTCAGCTAATAAGCAGATGCCATTTTTGCCAGTCAGGGCTTCCACCATATATTTAAATATGTTTTTAGAACGTAATGTGACTGTTAAATGTGGTTCCAAATTTAATCATAGAAAGAAAGAAAAATACCTATTTTCTATTTCAAATTTCCACCCTCTCTTATTTTCTTTCTTTTTTCAGGGATAAAAGTCAGTTTTAATTTCATCTGTCTGATAATTACTACTTAAATACCAGGCACTCTGCAAAATGCAATACTCAGGTTATTTTGAGACATGCTGTTATAGTCCATTTTAAACAGATGGTCTCCAGTCTTCATAAGATATACCAGCAGAATACCATTGTTTCAATAAATATCTATCCCTGACACCAGTTCAGTACTGACACTTTACCCTCCCTTCCTATTCCCTCATTTGACTCATTCATTCATATCACAGACATCCATATGACTTCTACATGCATGCACTATATAGCATTGAACAAAACAGATACAGAGCCAACTTTCACGGAGCTTTCATTCTAGTTGTGATTGCTAAGTACTTTCGAGTCAGAACTGACCTATAGCTGACCCTCCAGCAAGTTTTCTTGTGGAGCAGCTTGTGGATGCAAACCACATGCCTTCCTTTTGCAGTACTGGAATCGACTCATAGCGGATCCTCCCTCAGATTTTCAGAGGCGATTAATTACATGGAAGAAGGGAAACTGGTGGATTCAAAGCACATACCTTTGGGATTACAGCGCAGCAGCTTCCGATGATTAAGCCACCAGAGCTCTCTTCATGTGGTTGTTATTGTGTGTCATCAAGTCTGAACTGACCTGTAGCTGACCCTCCAGTGGGTTTTCAGAGGGAGGAAATTACACAGAGCACCTGGCAGATTGGAACTACATACTCTTGGGATTGCAGTACCACGTCTTACCACTAAACTAGTAGGTGTTATGAAAAATACAAAGCTTCATAAAGAGAAAGGCTTGAAATAATAAAGTAGGTGATCCAGTGGCTGTTAGATCTGGGGTGGACAGGGGGAAAAAGCTGAGATATTTAAGTAAATAAGAGGAGAGCATTATAGGAGTAGAGTTGCTGACTGGCAGCATGCTGGTATACGTAAGGCATAAACAGAAAGTCAAGAACAGTTTGTACAATACAAATACCAATCCCAATACAAATACCAACCCCATTCTTCAACGAGATGGAAAAGGCAATCTCCAATTTCGTATGGAATGGAAAAAAGCCCCGAATAAGCAAAGCACT